CATAAAGATGAAATTCCTAAATGCTATTAGTCAAACACATTTGACCTGATTAAAGAAACTCATTTGTTAACTATAGTATTGTTCTCACATCTTGATTCACAATCTAGTTTTATTTTATATTTAATAAGTTTTCAAGCTTGTCTTTGAAACTAACTTTTAGAACTAGGGCATTGTGGGGAGTTTTAAATGTAATAAAGATAGTGGTTAGAAGTATGGTAGAGCATTTAACACATTAATTTGTCTTCCACTGGGTTGTGTCATTCCTTATTCTAAGTCTAATTTGGGTTTAACCCTAAACTCCATGGTACTATAGTCAATAGTACCCCTCATGTTAAGCCATTAGTATGCCAAAATTGTACTAGATATCATTTGACATTGCTTTACATACAAGAGCTAGATATAAAGAGTTAATGTTTATAAAAGGATATTGAGTGTGTATTAGACCCTCGTATTATAGCACAATAAGTTTAGAGTTTAGCTTCAAATTCAAGTATGCTATATAGATGTAGATCTAGGAGATTAGATGCTAGGGCAGAGAATTGTTGAGGCACAACCATGGATTGCAAGTGACAAAAAATGTTGCCTACTATAGGTCTATAGCCCTCTTGCATACTTATCAATTTTTGTTTTCTCTTGGAAAACTCCTCATATAAGGGATTGTGTAAGCACAAGAACAAGAGCTCTTGGGGTTCCTATAGGACATGGCTACCAAGTCTACTAGTGATTGTGCAGTAGATGTTGCTCAGGTTGCAAAACCATTGGGTCAAGAATATTGTTTCCTAGCTTGGATACTATGATTAAAATTCATTTTAACTTAAACTTAACTCAATTAGTAAATATAATTAAGATAGCCTGTTATACATTTTTCTTCTTTATGTATATGATTGATAGATACCTCACTAATTGATAAGGAAATTCCTTGTTTGTACTGTTGTATTGATTGGGAAATCACAACAATTCTATATGGATTGCCTCTCTCTAGGCATGAGACTTACATTTTAACATGAGGTTAATGCTCAAGGTTTAGCTTAGTCTTTATAACCTTTATAAATCTTTTGAATAACTACAAACATAGTTTATTAGTACTATGGAATATAATTTATAACAATTATTTTTTATATTTTTGTCTTAGTTTTACCTAGGTCTGGGTAGTAATATTAGTGTTCTTACAATTTTATTGTTCTATATTCTAAGTAAAGCATATGGCATAGTAATTCTTTGCTAATATCTATATTAATTAAATATTAAGTAAATTTATTTATATTCTCTTTCTAGGTGCTTGAGTTCAAGAGTATATACAATTGTTTTATTTCTAGGTTCACTTTTTTGGGTCTGAGTAATATATTAATGTTCTTAGAATTTTAGTTATATTTTTATTCATATTCTAAGTAAACAAATAAAAATTAAATAATGATTCCCAAATTAATGATAATTAATCCTATTAATTTTTATTTACTGTTTTTTTAGTCTAGGTAGTAATATATTAGTTTTCTTAACATTTTAGGATTCTTATATCCCAAGAAAACATACTTTACATGTAACATCTAATTAGTAAAATTCTGTTTTAGTAATTATTCTTTTATATTTTTGGTCTGGAGTGTACTAAATATATTCATATTCTAATAGCTATAAAAAATTAATATTAGAAATTTTTATTTTACTTTCTTTTTGGTTGGTTATTAAGAATTTTAAAATCTTAGTGTTCTAAATATATTCACATTCCCAGGTATTACTTTTATTAATATATTTATCAATAATATTTATATAGTCACTTTAGGAATATATTAATATTCTAAATATATGGTCTATGCTATATAGTGTGTCTAGAGAGAGAGAGAAAGATCAAAAGTGTATAAAATTATTAATTTTTGTACTTATTCAGAATTTACTAGGCAATACTACTCTATTATAAACAAATCACAAACAAAAGCCATACCATAATATCAATTGAGTGTTAGTTTTTAATTTTCTCATTTCATTAAATAAAGTACACAATAGAATTTTTTCTCTATTGTTACAGGCTATGGCATTGGGCTTGTAACCCTTAGCAATCCTTCTGTCTACTTATTGATAGCTAACATTTTCAAAGGCTCCACAAGTTAACATGTTGATACAAACTGATGAAAAATGGCCCACTTCTACATAAAGCAATTCTCCAAGGAATAGTTCAAACATTTTGAAAAGTGATACAAATTAAGGTATTTTTCGTCCACTACCAATCTCTTTTGGCTGGGAAAAAAATTAGATCTACACAAGCTATGTAGAACCAACCAACATATATTTTTTCATTATATTGAGCTTTGATAAAAAAGGTGAGCTCTCCTATTGATTAATTTTGTGATTAATTGGTTTCCACATTTTCATAATAAAGTTGTTAATAATGAGGAGTCTGGTGTATGCTTTAACTATCATTATATTAATAGGATTTTTCTTGCATATCTCTAGCATGACAATCCTGGATGCTTGACATCCTGGGCAATTTTCCCAATTGGAAACAAGGAAAGTCACAAGTGCTATTTCTTCTTTTATCAATTCTCTTCAAAAATTTGCTTTTTACTCTGCGGGGTGAAGCTTTAGATATAATATTGCAATCACAGATAATTATTATGTTACTATACATCTTTGGTTCTTCAGTATTGCTCCTTCAATGATAGCCATCACTTGTTCAGTGTCTCCTGACGAGTCTATTGCACTATCTTCTAATATTATGAGATATGAATATATGCAAATTCTTAAAATCATCATCCCCCAAGCACGGGTGAATGGTTATGGAACAATGTTAGTTATATCTAAACTCTTAGGAATTGATTATGTTTCATGGCCTATTGACAAAAGTGAACATAATGAATTAAACACTTATAATAACTATTGGAATATTTCAAGTCCCTTTCCTCCTTATACTCCTTCAATCCAGCCCTAAATTACTCATAACAAGAGTTATTATCAAATCCAAGATTGGTATTCAGATTTAGAAGATTGTAGGCCTTTTGAAACAATCATAATTAGTGGTTTTAAATCCTTGGGATCATTTGTTAGTGATCCATATATCTTTCAATCCAAGAATGCTAGGTATCGATTTATCATACAGGTAGATTGCAATTTTGTCCTATACGATATGCTAGATGGAGAAAGAGTGTTATATGAATCTGGCATTTATACACATTCTCCATGCCCAATCAATATTCTTTACAACTCAGATGTATATATTGGGGACAAGATTTTTGTTAAGGCTTCAAATATTGTAAAATAAAACCTGATTGTATAAAAACAGTTGGGCTTGTAGTAGAAAATGATGGTTATATTATATTATGGTCGACAGACTTACAAGCAGCTTTATGGAAAGCTCCTCATTAAGTATTAAAAGACTCTCAAAGCACATTACTATAGGTTTTTATGGTAGAGAGAATATAGATGACACGATGAAAAGAAGTGAGTCAAGATAATTGTGCAATAAAATCTTGCAAGGGTGGTAGAAGAATTTTCCATAAGCGATAATGGCAATTATGATTCATGAAGTAGTAAGATTTAAAAAGTGATTTTGAGATAAATGATCTACATGCATTCCAAGTTGTACCAAAGATTGCAAACAAATAAAGCCACAAGTTCGAGCTTAGAAAACTAAAGGAGACCACTCTTCAAGTCATAAATATTAATAACCATGTCATTAGCACCAAGATGAAGGCTTGATTTGAGAAGATGCTTAAACAGGAGCAAAGCTTTCAAAGAATAAATACATAATGATGCTAGAAGGGTTTTCAAAGCCTTTTGTAAGTTCCTATGAAGAGCTACAGCAAATAAATTGTGGTGGAAAATGAGATTCCAATCAAACAAGAAGCAAAGTTGGTGACTTGAAAGTCATACATCTAAAATTTTCTCAAATTTGAGTAGGTCTTGATGTAGAATACATAAGAACATGTGGGTCCTCAGTAGATTACACCAGCTTCACTGTAGTATATGTAGACACTCAATCTATTTTTCCATATGCTCCTTTGTTAAAGTAATGTTAAATCACATACAGATGGTTTATATTGAGTGTGTGAGCGTGGAAGAAACTTGAAAGTGTTCCTCATCAAGATATAGTGTTAGGCGGTGGCAAAAAGAAGCTAGTCAAGCTTAAACTTTGCAATACAAGATGCTTATTCTCACTCCATCCATCCAAGGTCATCCAGTTACATTTGAGTCTTTCTTAAGAGCATAGATTAGATAATATAGATAGTTGGACTAAATAAAAAGTGAAAGAACATAAACACAAAACAACCAAAGCATTTTAAATCCTAATGCCATAGTTTCACAATTTCAGTATGCCAGTAATATGTATTCCACCAACAAGCATGGCATGACTTCAAGTTGGATTTCTGGCCTTTAACTTTCTTGAAAACTTGGCATCCCACCCACTGATCCTACTCCTTAACATTGAAGTAAGGAAAAAAAAAAGAAAAGAAGGTTTGAATTGCCCATCATTCAATGTTACAGTGATGGCCTTGTCCAACCCATACTTTCCTTAGGATTTCCTCAAGATTTAAATTACTTTAAGAGTTAAAGTGACAATATATTCAATAAACTGATAATTAGGGAAACAATTTCATTTCTAATATTGTTCAGACTGTCATACTATCTTATCTTTAAAAATTATATTGGAAAAAATGGCCATTTCCAAACTCCTGTGGTCACAGTGAATTAAATGCTTCTGGGAATCTCTTTTCTCATGATTCTCAAATTATCTATAATAGAAATGGTGTTCAGATTTTGGAAGATTGTTGGCCTTTTTGGAGCAAACAAAGAACAAAGTTGATGATCCTGGGAAAGGCGCCAGTGCTCTTTTCTTAACATCTCAAGCATGCTAATTGTGCTTCTATCAGCCTGCAATCGTCGAGAAGAAAGCTTTGATCTTGTTCTAGGGCTCTTGATGGAGAATGCGAGGAGGGAGAGCGATCCTTCCTCGCAGTTCTTGGCGCTTCTTCGATCGTGCAGGGAATTGGAGCAGGCGGGGCGGCTCCACGCTCGGATCTTGGCCAGCGCTGAGTGCCGCCACGACAAGCTCCTCGCCAATTTCTGCGTGGAGATGTATGGCAAATGCGGGGGCGTGCGCGATGCCAGGTATGGTTTCGATGCTATCCAGGAGCCGAGGCTACTCCTGGAACATCTTGCTCCAGGCTTACGCTCACAACGGCCGCTTGGATCAGGCCCGGGAAACGTTCCACCGGATGCCCCGGGCCTGGAACGCAATGATCACGGCGAGTTCTCGCGGCGGCAGCGTGGATGAGGCGAAGCCTCTGTTTGATTCCATGCCCCAGCACGACGTCGTCTCGTGGACTGTCATGATCCAGGCGCTTGGTCGGAACGGGCATTTGGAGGACGCAGGTAAGCTCTTCTCTTTGATGCCTGAGAGGAATGCGATCACTGAGACTACAATGATCCAAGCCTATGGCGAAAACTCCCGCGTCCATGTAGCAGTTGGGATCTTCAACAAAATCCCAGAGAGCAACCTCTTGCCATGGACTTCCATGCTCGCTGCATGTGCCCAGAACGGGCAGCTTGAAGAAGCTCGCGCGGTGTTTCGCAACATGCCGGAGCACGATCTCGTCGCGTTCACCTCAATGCTCACAGTGCACATCCAGTCGGGGGATCTCGAGCAAGCCAAGGCCATCTTCGCCCGAATGCCCGACCAGGACATCATCTCCCAGACAGCGATGATCCAGGCCCTCTCGCAAAACGGCCAGCTCCGAGAGGTCGGCTCATCTTCGAGGAGATGCCCGTCCAGAACATCGTCTTGTGCACAGCTCTTCTCTCCTCGTATGCTCAGAGCGGCGATCTGGACCGAGCAAAACAGATGTTTGACAAGATGCCGCAGCGGGACGCCATTGCTGGACGTCTCTCGTCGCCGCCTACGCTCAGAGCAATCACTTGGAGGAGCCCAGGAGCTTGCTTGACCGCATGCCAGTCCACAACTTGGTGCTCACCACGGCCAATACTGTAAGCTCGGGAGAATCGACGAGGCCGAGGCGGTGTTCGACAAAGTGGTGGTGAAAGACATCCTGGCCTGGAACACGATGTTGGCGGCTCACTCGCAGCATGGCTGAACTACGGAACACTTTCGACGCTATGCCGGAGAGGGATATCGTCTCGTGGAACATCGCAGTGGCGACTGCACGGGCACGTCGACGAAGCTCGAAAGCTCTTCTCCAGCATGCCACAGTAAGACTGCGTTTCCTGGACGATCATGATCGCGGGCTATGCCTGGAACGGGTATATGAGACACTTTCGACGCCATGCCACCGGTGTCTTCCGAGGTCGTCTTCTCCAGCGCGATGTTCACGGCTTACACTCTGGCCGAGAGCTTCTCCGACGCCATGCAGTTTTTCTACGCCATGAACGCCGAAGGATCACTCCAGTCACCTTCACGAGCGTGCTCGGCAGATGCAGCCACGCGGGATTGTTTTCTTCGACGTGGATCCTGTCCGCGAGCACTACAGCTGCGTGGTTGATATCCTCGGCCGGTCCGGACAGCTCGAAGAGGCCGAGGTGCTTCTGGGTTCTATCCCGTTTGAACTGGATGCTGCGAGCTGGGGGGCTCTTCTCGGTGGCTGTGGGATTCACCGCGACGTCCAGCGTGGAGAGCGAGCGGCAGAGAATGCACTCAAGCTGGATCCGAGCGAGGACGGCGCTCGGATGCTCTTGGCCAACATCTATAAAGCTGTTGGTAGGACGCAGGACATGATCAGGCTCAAAAACACCGTTCGGATGCTGAGAAGCCGGAAGCTCCAACTAGAACGAGAGCGTTTTCACAAGACAATGGAAAGCTTCCCTTACCAGCGTAAAGGCTCGACTGCGGGATCAACAGCCTCGTCGTGACTTTGCAACAAGTTTTTCTGCTCAAAACTTTCCGGGACAACCTCTCCATCGATCATCGAGCACTGTTGCTGCTGCTGCTGCGCTGCTGCTTTCTCGGTGTACGTGCTGGAGAGAAGCTGATACATCGACTTGTTCTCGGGGTCCAGCTCCATGAGATGCTGCGCAGCTCAAGTAGCTCGTCCAAGCAACAGGTCCTGGGAAGAATGGCATTTCGTCGGCATGATCCAGCTGCTTTGCTCGGCCCAGGACCTCCACCATGCAGCCGTAGTGATCGAGCTCTGGCCGCAGTCCATACTGGGTGATCATCAACACGAAGTGCTCGTGAGCTCTCCGCAGTTGCACAGTAGAGCCACGAAAGTGCTCTCCGTAGGCTTGAGTCCCTCGAGGTTGAGCTCCCGGAAGAGCTCCACGGCGGTTTTGTACGAGCCATTCTCGGCATAGCCAGCGATGAGCGTGTTCCAGGAGGTGATAATGGTGTTCCACGACGCGAGCTCCAGCTGTGGCATCATCTCGAAAGTCCTGCTGGCCTCCGCGAAGCGCCTTCTTTGGGCAACTGCTGCGAGTAAAGCGTTCCACGACACAACGTTCCGGCAAGGCACAGATTCGAAGAAATGTGGCGCGTCCTCTGGGCTGGAGTTCACAGTGAATGCCTGGAGCATCAAATTCCATGAGAGATCGTTCTTGACCGGCATGGTGTCGAAGATAGTGAACGCTTCGCGCAAATGCCAGTGATGGGCATGTGCTGTGACCATGGCGTTCCCGGCGATTGTGTCGTGGAGCATTCTCTGGAAGATCGCCTCTGCCTCAGCGATGTGCCCGGAGTGGGAGTAGTCCGCGACGATCGCAGTCCAAGAGATGACGTTCCTTGGTGATCGAACAAGAGCTTGGCCGATTCCAGATCCCCAGACTGGGCATGCGCCTTGGCTATGAGATTACAGGAAACGGCATCGTGATCCAGCATCCCATCAAAGAGCTCCCGATTCAGCTGCCGCTCCTGCGTGTATGCTGACACAACTGCGTTCCAGGAGAAGGTATTGGGGAAGTCGAGGCCATCAAACACTGCCCTTGCCTCCTCCAACCTCCCACAACAGGCATACATTGTGATGAGGAGATTGCCTAGGAATGTGTTGCCGCTGTGCTGGCTGTGGAGGATCCGTGAGTGGCAATCCCGCGCTCGCACCAGGCTCCCAATTGCTGCACACTGCCGGATTAACGTGGCAAAGGTAGAAACATAAGTATTCAAGAGCTAGCTTTAGCCCTTCTGGGAGATCAAATGGATGATACTCTTAATTCAAATGGGTTTAGATGGTATTACCTTCTTGGGTCTGACTCTGTTGGTTGGCTTAAGGAATCCAACCACATGGTGATTGACATCCGGGCTGGTCTTTAAGGGTAGGAAAGTTTAATGGGGAACCCTTTGGCCTAAACCCTTGGCAAAATTTTTTTAAAAAAATACCAACATTAGGATGGAATCTTCAGTTTTGGCAAGCTGTTCGGTTCTTTCTATTAAAGATAAATAGCTTGCTACCTCTATTTTTGTTTCTCTTATTATTAGAGGGAGTGTGTATGTATACCGCACTACTCTGTGGGCGCGCCCCTGTGTGAAAGAACGAACTCTCTCTCTCATTTGTTCACGAATGTGTGAGTGCGCGCGTGAGTGAATAAAAGAGTGATTGAGTGTGTGTGAGTGTGTGTGTGAGTGCGAGAGTATCTGTGTGTGTGAGTGTGAGTGTGTGTGTATATATATGTACAAATCCATATATATATATAGATAGAGGGGGAAAAACACAAAGTGATTGTCTGTGGAGATGGATAAAACAAGCAGTAAGTACATTAAGATAGAGATAGAGAGTACGTGAGTGAGTGAGTGTGTGTATGTATGATTAGGAATCTCTATATATATATAAATATATAGAGGTGTGTATATATAGATATATATATATATATATATATATATATATATATATATATATATATATATATATATATATATATATATATATATATATATATATATATATATATATATATATATATATATATATATAAACAAAACCATCCCCTTATACCTCTATCCTTACCACTTTACTATTCTACAACCACTTTTTTTCTATGACCTGATATTTGAAATCAAAGTAAAAAACAAAACAAACTAAATTCTTTCAAAACTACTTTCTCCTTTTTATATCTTGTATTTTTCTTATTACCCATCCATCTTACTGTATCACAAACTTTATCTTCCACAACCTTTATAAAATGATTTTTTATATAACTCTTACATTTAAGTATACCCTCCACCTTGTAAAGATTTTTGCCACCATTTAAAAATATTTTCTTGTGTAACCTATGCATTCAAGAATAATTGGAAAGTCTGCCCACAGCCGTGGCAAGGCTGACACTAATAGTTTATAATATCAATAATAAAATATAAAACATAATCCAAGGACTATATAAGAAAGAGCCCCTCACAACACAGAGTATTTAGAGCATGGAGTGTGGAGTGATTCTAGCCTAAGTTTTCTCTTTTAGTTTTTCAATATTCTTTCTTTAAGTCCTACTTAAAAATTATAAAAATTAGGAGTTAGGGGAATCCCTCTCCTCTCTCTTTCTCTCAAGGCACAAAGCATGCAGAGATGGTGTGCTATTAGCAGTAAATGTTTAACCTCTTTAAAATAAGTAATTATTTCTGCTTATAGTTAGATCATACTTTGGCTCAGAAAACTAACATAAGTTTCATATTGTTTATGAGTATATCAGCATTGCATCCAAAGGCAATCTCTTAGTTCCAGATGTGGTGGTCCTCTAACATGGAATAAACAAGTGAGAGATAAGGAAACTTTTAAGGTCCATCTATTTATATGGGTCCACAAATGGCTGCCCTCTATCTCCAGGGTTAGGTCTCCATCAAGTTTATCATCATCTCCAAATATCTTCTTTCATCACCTCCACCAATGTTCATGAAAGCTCTTACAATTGTTAGTAAAGTTGTATGGGTCTAGATAAGAGCCCATAGAGATGAAACTGTTTGATATGGAAGACTACCAATTTACAAAGTGGCAACAAATGCTTAAGTTGTGTGGCTACTCTCTTTTACAAAATTTTATTCCACTAAGATCATAAGGTTCTCCTTTGGAATTTGTTTGAGATTGTGCAACTTGTGGAGAAGGGCTGTAAATTGTCCTTTTTTATGTTGATAGCCTTCACCATGACTTAGTTTAGAAGGTTTAGAGAAGCAACTAAAGACTATAGGGGTTGTAACAGATTGAAGTAAGACAAGAAGTGTATGTTGGAAGTTAGTGTTGGATCCAACCATCTTGCTTAAAGCCTAATCTAGTTGAGTCTTGCCTCTAGATGATAGTTGCCATCAGAAAAACAGTTGTACAACAAGATGGTGCAACCATACAACATCAATGAAGTTAAGAGCTACAAATATAAGCTTGGACATGTGGTTGCACCATGCTAGAGTTGGTAGGGTTAATGGTATCAACCCCAAAATGGTTGGTCCAAGGCAGAATAAGTCAAACTTGACTGCATCTGCTTTTTGGGTCTAGTAAGGGGTGCTAAGTAGCAGTGTGGTTAGTTATGGGCTTGGATCAGCCAAATGATGAAAATGCATCTATTGTTGGATGAAATTGGCATATGAATTTATGTTCCAAAAAGATTTGATACAAGGAAATGCAAAAAAAGCATACAAACATAGAATCCTAAAAGAGGCATAGCTAATTATCTTCCTTGTGTGAAAAGACTCTTTATGACGAACTCCTAATGGAATTACTAAATTTCTTAAACTCTTTTACCCCTTGTCTTAACTACAATTCACATGGAAGAAACCTCACCATCTCATTATAGAGAGAGACTATTTTTCTAGAACTTAACCAATAGATGGGATAGATCTAGCACTAGATGTAAAAATACTCATCGAAATCTAATTTGCACTTATAAAGATATAGGATGATTAAGTGTTCTTAGCTCCCTAAGTTTTGCAAAAGTGTTAGATAAGCCTTTATTCAATAGATCATATTAATTTTACCCACATAAAGCCATAGAACAACCACTAAAATGCAACCTAATGTAAATGATTAAATTTGTCATTCTACTTTAGTCACTTAATCAAACCCTTGACTCCTTTGAGGAGTTTCACTTACAACCTTCATAGGTCCTCATCTATCATGGGGTATTTGTTATCCCTCAGATGTGATTTCTAAACCATACCAATTTTGCACATAATCCAAGTGCTTTACATGTCTAATCCCACTTCAGACATACAAAGGTGCCATTGACAATAAACCTATGTCCATTCATATTATCTGATTAGTAATCTAAGACCACTTGTACCACAGTCCTGCCTTCCCAAGATTGGGCCATCTGTCCATGTATAGTCATCCCATGACCACAACTTAGCATCCCTAAAACACCATCTAATATCTCTCCTTTAGTCTTTTCTTCAGTCCCACCAAGTCTCTCTTCATCCACGACAGTGCTTGTTAACACCACCATTGGGTTAGGCCCAAAGGCCTAAACACTAACCACTAAGTTTTATTAACTTTTGGGACTTCCTTAACATAACTATACTTTTGGTCACTAAGTAAAAGGATAATTCTTCTATAATCTAGTACTTTAGAATGATATTTTGAAATATTGAAGCCTAATACAAGCCTCATAGATACTCCTCCCACCTTTTGCCATTAGAGTGCCCCAACCATGTGGCTAGAATGAGATTCTAATAAGCCATACAAGGTCATCAAGTCACCCCACTTATCCATCTATATTCATTTTAGCCTTGGACTCTTTAGTGGTTAAATGTTTCACTTTACTAAGTTTGGATTGATAAGTAACTTTAAAGAGGGATATAAGAAGGACCAACACATAGCAAGTGTTATGATATATAAAAGTGTTAGGACCGAGTTTAAGATTGAATCCGAGATTGAGTCCGAGACCTAGTTCAAGACCAATTCTGAGACTAAGTCCGAGATCGGATCTGAGATGGAGGCAGAAGCTGAGTTTGAGATGGAGTTCAAGATTTGGTTTGAAATGGAATTCGAGCCTGAGACCAAGACTGAAACCGAGACTAAGGCCAAGATCAAGACCAAGGCTGAGAGCAAGACCAAGTCCAAGCCCGAGTCCAAGTCCAAGATTAAGACTGAGTTCAAGTCCAAGACTAAGATTAAGTTCGAGTTCGAGACTGAGACTAAGTCCATGTCTGAGTCTGAGTTCAAGTCCAAAGGTGAAACCCCAAAGCAATTGTCTCCTAGACTATAAAGGGTTTGGTAAGTCCATAATAAGAGGAGGACTTCAGTGGAATTAGTTTGGCCAAAAAAGGTTAGTATGATTTAAGAAGGCTACACCCACATGGTGGGTTGGTTGCATTCTTAATTACATTGATGGATCAAATCATATGAAATTTCATACTTGTTCCTAAAGCACTTCTTTGGGAGTTCCACTCCCACTTTCAACTTTCCCAATTAGAGTTTTTGATTTAAACATATCATGCTCATTGAACTTTTATTTTAGCCACTATCATTTGGCCCAATTTCAGCTCCACTTTAGGGTTTAGGGATTTGTGTTTTACATCCAAAAAAGAATTTACATTCTATTCACACTTAATGTTGGGGTTATTTATTTTCCTTAATTGGTAGCATAAGCATCTAGAATTTGTCAAGATTTGAAAATTGTAGCGCACATGGTTTTGACCCTTTATCCTATGGTGATTTACCATAGGATAACACCACGAAGCAGAACCTAAACCCTCTTTATGCCACATGACAGATGCCACGTGTCCAAAGGAATGTGGTGTGGACCCGAGGTTCAAGGCCTTGGGCCACTGAACAAAGGAACGGTGCCAAACTCCCAAGCATGGAGCCAAGGAGTGACGGAACCAGACCACGGAGCAACTCCCGAGCATACAGCCCAAGGAGCGAAGGGATAGGAGCCCGGAGCGACTTGGAACAATCCTAAAGCAATCAGCATCCCAATGCTAGGACCAGCACGCAAAACGAAGCCAAACGGAGTCTAGTGCTATTTCGGCATACCCTAACGCAAGTGTAAGCGACTAAATTTTCCATTCTACTTTAGTCACTTAACCACACCTCTGACCACTTGAAGGAGTCTCATTCACAACCTCCATAAGTCCAATCCAGGACTTGGGACTTGCTAGCCCCGAGAATGGCATCCATGCCACTCAACATTTGCACTTGGTCCAAGTGCTCCACGTGTCCGATCCCATGACCGACACTCAAAGGTACCACCGACATAGCAGCCCGTTACGCTAAGGCCATGCCCAATCACCTTTGCCACACTGGTAGTCCAATACCACTTGCATCACCGTCTTGGCTCTCCAAGACTTAGGCAAACCATCCGTGAGTGGTCATCTCAGA